CTATATTAAGTGTTTAAACAGGATGTGTTCTAGATTCCTTTATTTTGGAGGCATTGAGGCTAAGAAATTGCATCGATCTTATTGCTTGGAAGAGGACATGTAAGCCTAAAATGTTTGGGGGGCTAGGCATTCCGAATCTCCATGCTCTTCAGTTTGCAAAATACTGCTCTTTGGTTTTCAGATTTTATAATTCTAAGCCTATCCTCTTTAAGTATCTTAATATCAAATACGACACTCCTTGGACCCCAAAACAGTATAAAACCTCCTTCCTCTGAATGAATTTTGGAAAGTGGCCATGCAGATCTCTCATTCAATTCATTTTGACATCACTTATAAGAGCAAAATTGCTATGCTCTGGGACCCGTGGTTTGGGGGTAGGACACTTTTGTCCCTTCTTCCCAACAGTAACCTGGAATGTTATATTCAATATAATACCAAGCTCTCTGATTTCTTGGTTGAGGAAGAGTGGTGTTTTTCACGTTGTGTTAAGGATGTTATGTTTCCTTTATTGGGGCTTCTTCCAGTTAATCTTGACTCTAAATATACTTTAGCTTGGAAAGATAAGAAGAAACATTATTTCTCATCTTATATCAATTTTTTTTTTCGGGAGGAGGCCGTTCCTGATTGGACTACTTTAGTCTTGCATAAGCATCATGCTTTAAAATATTCAGTTTACACTTGGATTTCTTTGAACAGTGGGCTCAAAACAGTTGAGGAGCTCATTAAAAGGAACATTTTGGTTCATGCTAATTGCTCTTTATGCTTTTCAAATGCTGAAACCAATTCCCACATTCTGTTTGAGTGTGATTATGCCTTCTCTGTTTTAAAAAACATGATTTCGATTTTGGGAGATTTTCTTTTGAGACCTAGACTTATTCAAGTTTCCATTCTTTGGGAGAAAGGAGCTAGTTAGTAAAGAACCAAAAAGAACTTCTTTTCCTTATAGTATGTTGTGCTACTTATTATCTATGGAGGGAAAAAATGAAAGAAAATTTAATTCTAAATTTAGAAGTGTCTCTAGTCTATGTGCTTTAATAAAAGTGGCAGTGGAGGAGAAAGTGTCCAATTGAAAGCGTGGTGAAAATCTCAGAATTCCTTGGTTCTATTAATGGAGATTCTTTTGGCTGGGGGATTATTTGCTGTTTAGAAATAGCTGGTTGGATCTACTTTATTTTGGCTGGAATGTGCTACTGGGAGAACATTTGGCTTCTTTTTGCTACAGTTTTGTGTTGCTCGATTTTGATTCAGGCCAAGCTTGGAACTTCTGTTTTGTATTTCAGGCGCTGGTATATATGGCAGATTCTTGCCGCCGGTTTTTAATTATTGTTGAACAGTTGGCTGTTTTAGTTCTATTAGTCCATGGAAGGCCTTTTTGGCAACCTTGGACTTATTTTCATGGTAGATTTTCGTTGGAGGACAATGATGTAGCTAGCTGCTAATCATCTCCTTTGAGGGCCTCTCAGGCAACTGGGAGATATCTGCTGGGTCACGTTGGAATTATGTTGGTTTGTTTTGATTAGCAGTCTGAGTCCATTTTTGGTGCTCATGCCAAATTTTGCTAGACTATTATTACTGTTGTAACATCTTTGTGTTAGTTTTCTTTTAGGAGGTATAGGTTTTTGATTAGACCTCTTCTTATTTGTATGATGTCTAACCTTTTTACTAAACCTTACTTGTAAATTTTTCATTGAAATATACGGGCTTTTTGCCCTCATTTTCCAAAAAAAAAAAAAAAAATTTTCCCCTTTTTTCCAAAAAAAAAAAAAAAAAAACTAATAAATATTTAAAAGGATTCTACTGGCATATATATTATTACACGCAAACATACAATTTTTATATATTTTATAAGCAAGTTTTAAACAAGTCTTATATTCTCAAAAATGATAATCACAATTATATAATAAAGTATAATATGCATGAATAATAATTTTATATTCAATGGACTAACATACATGAGATACACATATTCTACTATAATCATAAATTCAATATATAGGAGTTTGTATTAAAAAAAAGGCAAAATTATATGATAATTTATTATAATCATTAAATATGATTAACTAAAACATATATAATAATAACTACATATTGAAAGTATTGTTAGTCTGTGGGGAATCATATTGTGTCGATTAATCATGTTGTATTATTGTGTCAGACCTAAGGTCAATTTCTCATGCTCGTTGGGGCTGCAGGGGTCCTTCCCTTGCTTGAGTTTTGGTGATTCGCACCCCATTTTTTTTTTGTTCCGTACAACACCTCGAAGCTATATACCCAAGCATCCCAATGATGCAAAAATTTGGTAGGAAAAAAAACATAGAGCAAAGCGTCACAACACTTTAAAATAAACGCCACAACTTTGTCAAGCTGATTGGAGATAGTGTATTGAGTGCAGCAGCGCTCTAAACTGGCACTGCAATGCTTCAAGGATGACTGGACAGTTTTTCTTCTCAAGGTTGGCATCCTTTGGTGGTATATAGGAGCTTTTCTCGTTTGTTTAGTGAGTGAGAATGGTATATGTGTGAATAGATGCAATGAGAGAGTGAGAGAGAAGGGAGATATGTACAAATTTTTCTTAATTTTCATAGTGGATTCATTGGTGTGGTGTGACTATGTGATTTTTTTTTCCAGTTTCAGATTTTTTCACATTAAATCTTGATGTTCTTTACTTTTCGTTGCTTTTCTATTTTTTCTTATTTGTTTCGTTGTGTGGTTTACTTTCACATCCCCAACAAATATGACTAGCAACTTATTAATATTTAGGAATCTTATACAAGTAACAAGGATAATGGCCATAACAAAGAACGATACATATTCTCTAATAAATAAAAGTTATTTACTTCGAGTTGGAGCGCTTGAACCATATTCTCCCTAAAATCAAAGAGAAAATGATAATCTCGAAAGTTCTAGATAATATAAGCTTTCCATTCATTACAAGCAAACATTAAAAGGTATTAAGGATAATTATGACAAAATAAGTGTAACCTAACACTCGTAGGTTATCTCGAAAATTAGTGTTGAAAAAAGCTTATAGTATTAACCATAACAAGTAATCTAATTGAAAGTTCAATGTCATTTAAGATTGATGTCTAGGATTCTCTCTAGAGGATCTATTATGATAGGGATTTGTTGCAAGTGTGAACATTGCAAACTCGTTTACCTAGAGAGGATAAAACCACATGTGGAGAGTACGATAATAAGAGTTGAAAAGCACCACACTTGGATATTCTATAAGGAGATAGAGAGAAAAGTAGTGTCATATAAAATATATAAAAGTTTTAAAGCGGTTGATTGAATGGTCCATATCTATCATGGTGATGGCTATGAGAAACTTTTTACCATAGAAGAGTAACATATATTATACAAAAAGAGAGCTCAATTGTTATATTATGGCATTCCTAAGAGAAAGGAATATCATAAGAGCAAAATATATATACATTAAAACAAAAAATAAAGTTTAGTAGAAATATAGTAGAGATGAGCAAGTAGATCCTCTAGGTTCAAGATACCATTAAATCCCAAATGTCGCAATAGTCGTCATTGTCTATTAAAAGTGTATATAATATGCATACATCTTGATATTAAAGAAATAATCCTCCGTACAGGACGTGACAAATCATTATGGTTGTTTCAGTAAAATAATGCAAGAAATTTGCTAAAGATGTACTTTCTCTATTAACTTAAATGAATAGACAAATTAAAATATCAAGTCTTATCAAAGTTCAATATGTTAGAGAACTTGGTAATATAACTTTTAAAAAATTGTATGATTTTCTTCTTATTCACAAACTCGACATCCTTTACTTGAATTTCTTCTAGGCGATTGATCATTCAAACAAACTATTTGTCTTCCTCAATGGTTCTTACCTTGTTAACCTAATTATCATTAAAAATCTAAGTATAAATGTTTTAGAGTTGACTTGCATTATTATTAGCTAAGCTTTGCAATCTATTTAGCTAATGCAGCATCATAATATTTTGATATCCAACAGTGAACAGTTCTTGTAAATGTGTTGTTGTGTGAAATCTAGAAAATTAATGATCAGAATGCTTAAAATCATTTAAATCTTAAAGAAATCAGATGTCATATCTGTTTGAGAAAGATTTCAATTTGATGTCTGAAGAATCGCTTTCTGTCTTTTCATTGCCAACCAAAATGTCTACATTATGAGTGCTTTCAACAGGTTTCATATGCTGTCGTTTAGTTTTCAGAACTGTACAATTATAAGTGTTAGTAATCAGAACTGAGATTGACAATTACTTGTTATTGCCGCTTTAAATTTGATTAAAATTTGGAACATTTAGGCCCTAACTGAATAGTTAATTTTGTCTTCAAAAGCTAAAATTATGACAGAAAATTTTATTATTTTTTCTGAAACAATATTGTATGATCTTAATTTGAGCTATTGAGTATTGATTGCAGTATGGTGTAATCAAGTCTAATAAGTTAAGAATCTTAAATAAAAGAAAGAAAATGATTATAGTTTATATAATTATTATAATAAAATTATTAAAAAAAGAAATTTGAAGATAAATTATAAAAAAATATTTGATATAAATAAATATTTATATAAATTTATTTTCGAGTCCCCTAAGATAAAACGATGAATTATTCTATGCGGATGTCGAACGTCGCTCAGAGCTCAATGAAAATATGCCATGTCATCCCTTGCTGGGTACCTAGCTCGATTTTGGAGGCACGAAATTCATTTCATAAATACGTTTCCTTTATAAGTTATAGTAACTAATGAATATTTGATTATTTCTAGTTGATCGAATATTTGATACTTTATTAGTTTATTCTTTACCAAATGCAATTAATGTACAAAACCAGAAGAGAATCCGAGGTTGTCATGTGTAAACTGCAAGCCTCTTCATCTCAGCGGCTCAAAAAATGGCAAAGCATGCATCAAATGTTGTCATTAAAGCAGCCAAAAGAGTAGTATTTTAAGAGGGAGAAAGATATTTTAATTTTTTTGATTCTCCCCCCGTGGCTGGTCAGTGTCAGCGGCTGGTCACATGGACATCTCTATTGTGTCCAAGGATTGAGCAGAAGTTGTACTGTTGCAGAAAACCCCTCCCCGGCTCCCCCCTCCATTCTCACACTTCCGATTCTCACCATCTTCTGTCTTATATTCTACAGATTCTCAAGTTTTGAATCAAACCTTCGGCTCAACCTCTTCTATATATCTTTGTTCTCGCATTTCCACTTCTTCTCTGTCAACGCAAACAAAAAGAGTTCTTGACGAAGTTTCCTCCTAAACCTTTGCACTCTTTCTTCTCCTCCTCTCTCCCATTACAGAAGGAGCAAGCATTCATCTTGTCTTGCTTTGTCTCCCGCTTCCCTTGTGAAGATCATCAGGTTACTTTTCTCTCTCTCTCTCTTTTTTTGCCCCTTTTGATCATCTTCATCTTCTTTTTCTGTTAATAAGTGGAGATGATGGTTAAAAATGTGTTCTTTACTTTGATTTACCATAAAGATGCGATTTTTTTTTTTAAATTTTGAAGAGTGATTTCTTGCATTTAGCTTTGTTACAATTTGATGTCAGGGCTGCCTAGTCATGTATTCCTGACGGTTTCTTCTTGTTGGTGAAGGTTCTGTTTCTTTTATGTTTGGGATCATGAAGATTATTTTGGTGGGGCTTTGTTCTTTTCTTGCATAATGTTAGAGACGCAGGGGGGATTCAGGCAGGAATGAATTTTACAGCTATATTACTCCATCAGCATCTCTGTTTTTGGCGTGCTGGATGTTTTTTCTTATGTTAGCTACAGTCTTTTCTGTTTTTCTTATTGCTGTAATTTGTAATCTTTTGTTCATTTAATACATGGGCTTTTTGCCAAAAAATATTTCTACCCCCACACTTGCTTAGAAATGGAGCGTAAAAATTTTGCATTTTGTAATTTTTCATTTGTAGATGTAGAATATTTCCTTTTTTTGGCTAGAATTTCCTCTTTAGCTGGAGTTTATCCCCTTTTGTTGTTTCTGGTTGTCTTATTTCCTTGTCTTCTATATGTAATGTCATATGCCTCTTAGAAGCCTAAGCAATGCTTGTTTTTATTTTATTTTAAAGCTGCCTTCTCATCTATTATTTTGGCAAATTTCTCTGTTTTAACTCTTTCTATATTGTTTTTACACCAATATATTACAAAAGAAATCGTTAGCTTCACCCATAACCGCGTTAAATTTGTTGCTTTTATGCATAAATATAGAAAAAAATTGTGTTTTTATTGTCCACATAGGCGCACAGAAGTTGCAGAACCAAGTATTCTTTTCTTGTCACTTACATATAAGTGATCTCCATTGCCCTCTGTTCATCAATCTACAGATGGAGAAGAATACTTCCGTAGTTCATGGGAGGATAAAGAAGAGGAAAACATTAGAAGAAGCTCATTCAAACCCTCCTTTCTCTTTTGATGAACTGAGCCAAGACTTGCTTGAGATAGTCCTTTCATGGCTCCCAGCCTCAAGCTTCCTCCGCCTGCGTTCAGTGTGCAAAAGATGGAGCTCAGTTTCGGTGTCTCCAACGTTTAAAATCGCATGCTCGCAGATCCCTTTCAGAGATCCATGGTTCCTTATGGTTGATCATGAACTCAACCAATCTGTAATTTTTGATACCAGCGAAGGGAATTGGAAGAATCTCATTTGCCCCGCCGGTTTCAACCAAGTTAAGCGAATCGCCATTTCATCCTGTGATGGCCTGGTCTGCTTCCGCCACACCTCGGGGGGCTTTGAGGTTTGCAATCCGGTCACCGGAATCTGCCGCAAGCTCCCTCTCCCTGACTTTGCTCAGCCTCTTCATGCAGTTTCCATGAGCTTTGACAAAGACTCGTCTTTCTCCTCTTATAGAGTTGTATTAGTTTCTGGTGAATTGCCAAACCTGTCTTTCAGAATGTTCAGTTCAGACAAAAACAAGTGGGAGGAAGAGGTAATGTTAATAAGACAGGCAGGGGATTCCTCTGAGACAGATATTTCCGGTGGCGAAACGGTGTATTTTCTCAGCAAATCTGGTGAGGTTGTGGCTACAAACATGCTAAGGAGCCCATCCAAAGAGTTCTCATCAGTGTTAGCAATTGAAAATGGTGAAGAGATTGTATATTTTCTCAGTCAGTCAGGCACAGTGATTGCTTGTAACCTCAATAAGAGGAATTTCTATGAGCATCCAAGGCTTCTGCCTATCTACTCTGAGTACTCCATTGATGTGGTTGTTTGCAAGGGTGAGATGATGGTCGTCGTTCTGTCAGAATTCCTCGAGACAGCCAGCCTTAGAGTGTGGAGATTCAGTAAGGGGAGCAAGTCATGGCTGCAGGTGGCGGCGATGCCGCCGTCCATGTCTCATGAGTTCTACGGTAGGAAGGCTGACATAAACTGTGCTGGTTGCGGCGATATGATCTTTGTTTGCTTGAATTCTATAAACTTCAGTAGCTGTGTAATCTGTAATGTGGTGGAAAATGTATGGAAGGAGCTGCCAAAGTGTGTTGTGAATGGGAAGGCTAAGGAATTTGTGTCTGCCTTCTCTTTTGAGCCAAGATTGGAGGCCATTGTATGAGTGTTATCTGTATTGCTTTTTGGCACTTTGATTGCTTGTGTTTGATTCAATATAGCATGCAAGTTTTTTGTTTGTTATGTAAAATGACTTGACAAGTAGCTTAAAGATCTCAAAATGTTTGATTGATCACACGAAGGAAACTCAAAATATGCCCTCAAGAAAGATTTTGTATGTACAGTTTATTCTTCAAAGTTTGTGTTGAGATTGAGTAATTGTGTTTCAGAATACCACCTTACTTGAATGTTAGCGTTATCTCTTTGCATTTCACCATTACTGTACTTGAACATGTTTTTTGAATGATTTTGTAGAAATACTACCTGACATGAGAATATACTTCAAATAATTCTTTACAATTAAAATCAGCTGATAAGAGAAGAATTGAGGAACCTAAGCACTTGTAGCTGTTGCACGATTGTCTTCAGTTTTCAATCTTCTGCATAGCCACTGCTCTTATCAAAATCAAATCTGTAAAAAATTATTAACTTCACACTATATATGCTTTAGATGTAACAAAAGATAAAATTTAGACAAATATGTTCAGTTTTATTATGAAAACTTGATTCTTACTCTGATAGATAGCATTCTATCACTGCAGATTACAAACTTCTCCTGAGCAGTAAATGAAGGTTTTTTGCTGGAAAACCAGGATATAAGCAAAATCAAGTACGTATTCCTTCTCAGGATTAAACTCAAACTATTAAAATCTATGAACTTTCATATCCATCTAATGCCAGAGATGCATCTGTTAAGGTTTTATTTGGGATGTCTTTTTTACTGTTTTTTAAAGTAATTTTTCAGTACAAAAATTAAAATTTTTATACTAAAAAGTTGTTTTAAGAAGCAATAAGATAGCCGTCCCAAACGAAGCCTACGTAGGCAGTCAAAATATCATTAATTATGTGGAAGAAGACTTTGTTAAAATTAATGTCTATTAACTTAAGATTCATTCACATTTAATTTTTAAAGATGGTGATTACATTATTTAATTTTTTTAAGATTGGGGCTACATAACTCAATTCATATTTGATTTTTCAAGATTGTGACTATCAAAGTCAAGCTTCATTAAATTCAAATTTGCTATATATCATATTTAATCACTATATAAAGAGATGGTTATATTATGATAAAGCATCCCATAACAAGAATTAACAAAGAGAGGAGAGAAGTGGAAGAGAGGAGAAGGGTGTTATCCAAGAAAGAAGAAAATTTTTGGGTGTTTGCAAGTGGAATTTCTTAGCTTCTTTTAGAAAAGTCTCAACTTGACAAATTGGTATCTTTATTCATATATCTAATTTTGTATGAAGTATAATTCTCGTTTATCTCTTTTGAAGTTTAATAGATTATTTAATCTCTATGTGATTGCAGACATAAGCTTGCTTAAGACCAATAATGTAAATTTTGGTGTTCTCTTCTGTGGCACTTGATCTTTTTTGAAGTTACTTTGTGGTTCATTATGCTTGTTTTTAAGTTTATAATATTCTCTCTCCTAAAAATTGATATATAAGTGAGTTATGAAAATTACGATTGCCATAAATTTTGAGATTAAGAAGTTTAATGGCTCAAATAGTTTTAGCTTTTGGATAGCCAAGATGTGTGATGTACTTATCTAGTATGAACTTGTAATAACACTCATGAGGCATAGCAAAGATGGTTGAAATCATGAGTGAAAAATATAAGATAGAGATGGATGATAAGGTATTTTGGGCGATTCAATTGTATCTAGCTTATAAGGTCATAGAAGAGATAAGTGCAAAAGGTGTTTTGGCTTTAACTAGAGTCTTTGGATATGATCGAATGCCTCTCCAATGAACTTCAAAAGAAGCAAAGACTCTTTATTACAAATATTGGAATGCATGTCAATTAAATCATATTTGAATGAGTTTAATTCAATCATTTGAGATTTGAGGAATATTGATGTGATTGTTGATGACAAAGATCAAGCTTTATCACTATTATGCTCTTTTTCTCTCTCTTTCAAGCACTTTCAAGATACCATATTATATGATCATGATATAATAAGCTTAGAGGATGTCAATAATTCACTTCTTTTAAAAAAAAAGAGACCATTTATAGTCTTTAGGGAAATGATAAATCAATTCAAGGTTTATTATAGGTTAAAAAAAGATCCTATGAGCAAGGGTTCTCTTCTAGTCATGGGAGTAAATCTCAAAATAAATTCAAAGAGACTATTTATTTCTATTATAAGAAGAAAGAGTTTGCAAAGAAGAACAACTTTACTTCTAAAAAGGTCAAGCAAGAAGCAAAGAATGACCACTAAGGCTTCATTTGGGATGGCTTTTTTATTATTTTTTTTAAGCAATTTTTTAGTACAAAAATTTTAAATTTTTTAACTAAAAATCTGCTTCAACAGTAAAAAAGCTGTCCCAAATGAAGCCTAAAATGATAACTCAGTTGATGTAAACATTATTATATATTTTTTCGAGTTATGAAATTGGTGATGCTCTTTTGGTGATTAAAAATAATAGATGTAAAGAGTAGTAGATTCATGACTCTGTTGTTTTAATCACATGTGTTCTAAGTTGGTGTTGCAGAAGATGAGGAGTGAATACCACAATGACGAAACAAGCAAGAAAGTAAAAGCAGCGGAAAGTAAAAGACACCATGATTTAATGTAGAAAAATAAAAAACAGAGAAAACCCATGGAGCAATGCCACACCAACAAACCCATTATGAAAATTAAGAGAAATAAGTGCATATCTCTCTTCTCTCTCACTCTTACCTTACTTCTCTTCTCATATGCACTGTTCTCACACTTGTCATAACTGAAAATACAAGAAAAAGACAAGTAAAATAACTCTAAGGGATACAACCCTTTAGAAAATGAGAAAAAAAATTGTCCAGTCCATCTCGCAGTGCTGCGGCGTCAATTTGGGATGCTATGACACTCAAGTATCTCTTTTGCACCACCGGAGCACCTTATCTATACCGTTGCGGCACTCTGCTCTTTGTCGTTTAGTGTTGGGGCGCTCTGGTACATAGCCTCGGGGCGCTCGTGTGACAGCCCAAACACTTAACTATCGAGATATTTTCCATTTTAACCTAAGATTCTCACAATTTTATCATGTTGGTGTAACTTTCTAGTAGGTCACCCATCTTAGAATTGCTCCGGGATGAGCATGCTTAGAGAATTGCAAAATCAAGTAGCACCACTATTAGACCATTGCTTAATTACCCCTGCCAGACCATTTACCATCTACTATTGTTAAACCATCACTCAACCACAACTCTATGACCACTACTTGACCAATATTTTCAGACCACCCTTCCCCATCTACTATCCTCCAACCACATTCACCCAACTACAGTCCTCCAACCAATTTTACTCTGCTACAATCCTTAGACCATCATCATCCGTGTACATCCATCTGATTGTCATCATCCAGTAATGATCCTATGAGCATCTTCACCTTAGTATGGTCCTCCAAATATTATCTCATAGATAGGAAGCTTTAACTACCATGACCCAACAATAGTCCTTCAACCACTCTCTCCTGATTATAATCCGTAAACCACCATATCCCAGCTATGAACCTCTAACCTTCATACCACTATTACCTTAATATATTCATTTGACCATTATCACTTGACTATTTTCCTCCAATCACTATTGCTCATCAACAATCCTTTGACCACAATCACCGAACTTTGATTTTATGACAATCATCATCTAACTTCGATCTTCTAAATTTGACCACCGTTGCTTGAATATAGCCATCCAATTAATATCATTGTACTATAATCCCTTGATCATTGTTGCTTGTTTAAGATAGTCATTTGATCATCATTGCCTGACTACGATCTTTCGACCACTATCACCCAATTATATTTCTCTGACCACCATTACCCTACAATGATCTTTTGGCCATCATCTCCTTATTACAATCCTCCAAATATCATCACATAACTATGGTTCTCCAACCATCATTACCTGACTAAGACCTTGTGATCACCATCATCCAACTATGATCCTTCGACAACCTTTTCCCAACTAAGGCCCTCTCACCATCATCACCCAATTACGATCTTCTAACCATCATATCCATATTATGGTCCTCTAACCATCATCACTTGAATATTATCATTCAAACATTATCCATCATTGCATTGCTATGATCCTTCAATCATCTCTGATCAACTATAATCTTTTAAAAACCATTACCAAACTACAATTGCCTGACTACTGACATTTGATTATGACCCATCAATTTTTATTGCATGACTACAATGCTTCAGCCACAGATGCCAAACTTTGATTCTCTAACCATCCTCATACTATTTCTGTCATCTGACCACGATCACCCAACTTCAACCCTCAAATCATCGTTGCCTGAGTTTGATCATTCAATTATTATCCCCCAAATCCAACACTCCAAACATTGCTGCCTAAATAGGTTTCTTTGACTATTATCATCCAACTACAATACTTCAACCACTATTGCTCAACTAAGATCCTCTGACTACCATCGGTGCATTATGTCCTCCAACCACCATTACTTTTCTACAATCCTTTGACCACCATCGCTCAACTATAATCCTCCAACTAGCATTCCCTAACTACTATCCTTATCCCACTGTCACTCGACTATAATCCTTCAATTATTTTTACATAGCTATATTAACAACGACTGACTTCATCACCTATCTTCACCAATTATATCAATGCACATCATTACTCATAAGACTGAAGCATGTCATTAACACTAGTCCCAATTCATGGAATTAGCGGCATGACTTACACTTGGTTTCTTTGTCTTTGATCTTCCTTTCTCAAAGGAATATGATCAAATAAATATGAAATAATTTTTTACGGCCACTCTATTGCCAGAGCACCTTTCTAACATCCATCATGATTTTTTTTTTTATATAAATTATGTCAACTATATTATATGAGCTCCTTTTCTAATCACAATGAAGGTCATACTTTATAATTGAGGATTGATGCTAGTGAAATTATTTCAACAGGGTCAAATCTAATAATTTTTCTCTTTTCAAGGACTTTACATGTAAAAAACTCTGATATCTCTTATAATTCTTCTATTATATGTCAGTGTGCTACTTCTTGGTATAAAACAAAAATGTTAATATCTCTGCTATTGCAAATAATCTAACACCGAACAATAAAAGTGTAAATCTAAAATTCAAGTATCAATAACATCAATAAGTTTAATTAAACAAGTGAAACACAAGAGTCATTCAAACTTTTCTCAATAATGGGAGAATTAAGCTTCAAAGTCATAGGTTATGCTAATCACTTAAAAGGTTTATTAAAATGGGCTTTAATGCCATTAGTGGTAGGGAAAAAATCATTTCTTCTTGAAATAATTCAATTTGATTTTGAGCTGAAATAAATTTTGTTATAATTTGACCCGATTCGATCACAATTTAATTAGGCATTGCAGATTAACTTTGGTTTGAATTTAATTTGAATTGAATAAAAAAAAAATCAATGTAAATTTCATTAATTTTTTATCTACTAAGACAAATTTTTAGTCCAAAAATATATAAATGCACACAAACATAAAAAAAGAAATAAATATTTATATTTCATGGATAACATATGTTAAGCTTCTCTTCTTTTTTACTTTATAATCATGTCTTTATCCCATATCTGTATTAAGTATCATAGCAAATAATAAACTCTTTGTTATTTGATATATTTCTAAACTATTATTAAATATCTAAATTTTATAAATGATTTTTTTTTATAAATATTTTATAAAAGGATAGCATGAAACACTAGTTGAATTTGGCATTTTGTCATTAATATTTGTATCATACACATCAAAATATATTAATACAAAATAAAAATAAAATTTTTATAAGAAATTTGATATCAAAATTCTTATTTTTTCTAAATATAAATGAACCAAAAGTATTAGTAAAATGACATTGCTTTCATGGGCTGGACTAATGTTTAGAACATAGAAGGCCCATTCGTACATTTTTCTTACCTTATTTGGGCTGTCATATAAGGCCTTTAAATATAAAGATTAACCCCAAAAGTTTAATTGCTTCAGTTCTGTTTCATATTCGAGTTATAAATTGGAATCTGTTTAAAATGAATAAAATTAAATTGAATTATAAATTTATAATAGCCTTGAAACATTTTTTAATAATCTAATTGAAATTAAATGGTTAATCTTAAATATATAAATTTTAATGTTTCTTACATATGCAATTTACCTTAAGAAGAACTAAGATGAAAATGAGTTGATCCAATACCATTCAAATATGTTTTTTTTTTGTTTTACCGCAAGTAAGCTGCATTTTTGTCGCCAACCATTGCCAAGCACTGCCACCTACCATAGCCATCGCTGTCGTTGGCCAATAGCCATCCATCATCTCTCGCCGCTAGTCACGTGCTGACCGTCAACCATTGTCGATGCATGCCCATTTGCAGATTGCCAATCATCGCCGCAACATATGTCATTCTTAACCGGCTCTATTGCCATCGTTAGTCAACAATTGATCATTGTCATCGACTGTCATCAAACATCATTACTTCACATTACATTCATTTTACTTTAAACTAAACAAAAAAATAACCTCATCTATTTTTTTTACGCACTTCCAAACAAATTCAAACATTTCAAATGAACTAAATACATTCCTTTTACATAGCTTTGATAACGCAATAGATAACTAACCTAAAATATTTATGAATAAGCGGAAAGGAGTTAGACAACTTAGGCTTCGTTTGAAACAGTTTTTTTAATGCTTTTTAAAACGGTTTTTTAATATAAAATTTTTTAATCCTAAATATTTTTGCATTAAAATATTGCTTTAAAAAATAACAAAAAAAAAAAAAGAATGTGTTTATTATTATTATTATTTTTTCATTATTTTCTTTGTTGCGCTATGGCAAATGAATTTATCCTCCACACAGTCACCAACACAAATTTCAAGCCCAGTTTTGATAGAAGAATAGAATAAGGAAAAGGATGATAACAGAGAAAAAACAGCTACAATATAGAGAAGCAGATGAAGGCAACATATATGGATATAAAGTAACATAAAACATATTTTAATAAACTGTTTCTTAAAATAGTTTTTTAATTAATTTTTTTTATTGTTTCTTAAAACAATTTTTTATAAATAAAGAAAAAATTGACTAAACAGTTATGATTTGTAGGAGTTTGCCAGAAATGAACATTACTGATGGCTTCCCTTGTTGTCATCACATGTTGTGAGCTCGTTTACAGTAAGACAAGCTCGCTTTCCAACTAGCGAGCCGAGCTCAATAAGAGCCTAAACTCGACATGACTTGACTCGTTTATACCCCTAGAGGCTCCTGTGCTTAAGTACCACTCTCATCAGTCTCTCTTGGGAATTAGAGAGAGATTTCTATTAAAAAAATATTCCAATTACTCTTAATTCAATGCATCTTAATAAAAAAATATAATTTCAATACATATGATTTACTCAGCATTTCTAAGTTGCATGCATTTAAAAAACATTCAACTAAACAGCACCAAATGCATGAGATCACAATATAAAAAAGTATGATGGTTTCTTTCTCTTTTTTCTCTAATCCAAAGCTGCTTACTGTTGCTTTGGGAAGCAACCACATGAAGCATTTTGATCTCCCAAGTAAGAGCTTTGCTGGCTTCTTCTCATCTTCTGAGCTTGTTCTGCTGCTTTTAAAAGCTGCTGTGAGTGCTGTAGCAGTGCTTCAGCTCTCCACTCTTCAGATCTCCTGTGAACAACAGCCATTCTCTTCATCAGCTTCTCTTCCAAGTTTGATCTCATGTTCTGAATCTTCACCTGCAAAAGAAGATGAGATAGATTTTCCCTCATAAGAAATCATTTATCATATAGATTTTTAATACTAGTATTCAGATCAATATAAATTATTAAGCAAATATTTTGAGCACTGGGCTTACTCATTTGGCTTGAAAATGAACTCTAAATATAATTTTTGTTGATAGTTTGAGTGAACTAAATCTTAAATTCACACAAGTCATATGTGAGCATCGAACCCAATATTTTTTTGGTGGAAGCTTAAGCTACAAACATACAAATTATGGTTTTATTTCGGAGAACTTTTTGGCAGTTTTCTACATCAGCTTTTTGGTACAAATTTTTTTAAAAATGATGAAAAAACAGTGACTAAAAGTTGTCTGAAACAAAACATAAGATGTGATGCATCTAAATATCAAAGAATATTTAAAAAAATTTATAATTTTTATGTGGAATAATAAATATCAATATTAAGATTTCTGTCATTTGTTTATTTATGATTCCTGAATCTGATTGAGTTGACAATTTGACATTAAAAGATATTAGTGTAATTTGATCTTTGTTTTGATTGATTTTATAAAAGTAAAAAATTACATTAATACTTGTTGTGTCCTGGAGTATTCGCGGCGGTAGAGAAAATATATAGTTTAATGTCTTAGCATTATACGAAGATCCACCACACAACCAGATAAGAGAGAGAGTGTAACATTCATAAGGAACACCGGAGTTTTTACGTGGAAACCACTGAAAAAGGGGGAAAAACCACGGGGCCTGACCCACTTTGAATGAATCCACTAGTATTTGCAGTCGATTACAAATGAGGTCCTTCCTTGGGAGAAGGCCTTGGCTTGATGGTACAAATGTACATCATATAGAGCGCATTACATAGTGGGAGTTACAATAATATACATGTTTGTTTGGTTGGAAAGGTCATAGTTGGCACGAGACGGAGGTCCGAAAGATCGTAGTTAGTAAGAGATTGGGGTTGGGAAGACCATTGTCTGTCGACGTAGGTCGGAAGGACCGTAGTAGGCGATAGAGGTCGTGAGGACCGTAGTCAGCATGAGATAGGAGTCTGGAAGACCATAGTTGGTAGGAGGCCGGGGTCTGAAAGACCGTTGTCTGGTGATGGAGGTCAGAGTGACCATAGTAGACAACGGAGGTCGGGACAACCATAGTCGGCAGGAGATAGGAGTCTGGAAGACCGTAGTTGGAAGGAGACTGGGGTCTGAAAGACCGTTGTCTGGTGATGGAGGTCGGAGTGACCATAGTAGGCGATGGAGGTCGGGAGGACCGTAGTCGGCAGGAGATAGAAGTTTGAAAGACCGTATTAGAAGGATGGTACTTCGGTAGAACTCCGGGCATCAGGTGATGGCCTGGTGGAGCTCGGGGTCTCAAGTGACAGTCCGGCGGAAGTCCAAGCTTTAGGTAGTGGCCTGTTGGAGCATAGAGTCTCAAGTGGTGGTACAATGGAAGTCTGAACCTCAGGTAGTGGTCCAGTGGAAGTCCGGACCTCAGATGGTGGCCCGGCAGAAGTCCGAGCCTCAGGTGGTGTCCGGCGGAGCAACGGCGTCAGGCGGTGGTCCGGTGGAGGCGAGAGCCTTAAGTGATGGTTCTGCGGAGCAAGGGCGTCATGCGGTGGTCCGGAAGAGGTGAGGACCTTAAGTGGTGGCTCAGCGGAGCAACGGCGTCAGGCGGTGGTCCAGCGGAGGTGAGGGCCTTAAGTGGTGGTCCGGCGGAGTAACGGCGTCCGACGAAGTAACGGCGTCCGGCGGAGGTGAGGGCCTCAAGTGGTGGTTCGGCGGAGCGACGACGTCAGGTGGTGGTCCGGCGGAGGTGAGGGCCTTAAGTGGTGGTCCGGCGGAGCAACGCCGTTAGGCGGTGGTCCAACGGAGGTGATGGCCTCAAGTGGTGGTCTGACGGAACTCCGGCGGTGGTCGAGGAGGTAAGGAAGCAAGAGCGATCTCTGATCTCTCTTTTTTTTTCCTTAGGCTTCCGAGGGTCCCCTCTCAAGAGGAGAGAGAGCTCTATTTATAGATTTTGGGAATGACATGACCCGTAAATAGGTGGAGGATTAAGGGTAAATGGGGAGTGGTCGAATGAACGGCCGATGTTGAATCCCTTGATCATGCACCGTTCTTTAGACATTTGAAGACTTTAATGATGTCAGAATTTTGGGATCTTGGGCTCGTTGGATTCGTCTCGTCGAGCTGCTCGATTCGAGTATAAGCTTGTTATGTTTGGAAACCGTTTGGTAATCCAATTTGTGGTTTGAACCTTCCAGCAGCGCTTCGGGTCCTTGATTTGGACCATTTGGGCTCGGATTGAGTCAAATTTGGTGTCGTTGGGTTCATATTTCCGAGACGCTCAGTTCGACTGTAAGTTCGCTGAAATCGGATTTCGGATGGTCTCCGAATTAATTTTTGAAGTTTCCAACTTGATTTTGTATCGAGATCCGTGCCCGATCAAGATAATTTTTGGATGACGTATCAATACTAAAATATCAAATTTACAATCAATAATCAAATTGACACTTTAACAACCAAATAAATTTAATTTAATTCAATTATTTTACTTTATCCAAATAATACATCTCTCCATTTTCGTGTCAACTCAAAGCTTATAATGATTAAGAAAAGAGCACTATTGTTGCATTCAAAATTCAACTACTATTCACATGGGATTATTCTTCAAACCCTTGATGATAATTAGTCTCCTCTTCTTCTTCGAGGTTGTTGTGATAATTGGTGAGATTATAAAAGAAAAGTCAAAATCGGTGGCTTTCTTAAAATACTATTAACACTAATCTAATGGGGAATGGAGGATTAGATTATCTTAATTAAGTTTAGTAAATCATCACGTGAATGGTGGGAAAATTAAGAACAGGCTCTATGGCTAGTAAAGGTTTGCCTAGTTTGGAGTGTTAGTGTCTCGAAGAGGTCAAGCCACAAGCATGCTTTCCAGCTCTTCAAAAACAATTCCATGCACCAGTTTCAATGCTGGAAAAGGACAAGTGTTACTTTATAATCATCACATTCTGACACAGAGAACCGTTCGATTTTGCGACTGTAAATAGTAAAAATGCAGGGTGAATTGTAAAAGTGCAGTGGTGAATAGTAACTACACTTTTACTGCTCACAGTTACAAAATCGAATGGTTCTCTGCATCCAGACCCCGCACGTAATAATCTCTTGACAATGTAAGGCTTTGTTTGCACGTTTTTCTTACTGTTTTTTAAAGTTGCTATTTAGTATAAAAATTTGAATTTTTATATTAAAAAGTTTCTTTAAGAATCAATAAGAAAACAATCTCAAAGGAAAACGAAACCTAAATTGAATAATTTTTGCTTCTTGAGTGTCAGTTTTCCAACTTGATTGCTAAATTTACAGGCAGAAGGAGGGCATGAAATTACCTTTGAATAGAGCAATTGATTAAAGAAACTGACAAACAAACAAAAAGCTTATAATCATCACATTAACGTGAGAAACTTTAAAAGGAGCTTCGGAAGGTTGGTCGGATGAGGGCAGGCATGGTTCTCCAATAAGCAAAAATAGTCTGTATTAATATTCTATGAAGAATACTTTCATATTTTCAAGGATATAAAACTCTTCTTTCGATATATAAGAGGAAAAAAAATCAATTACCTCAAGTTTTTTAGACTTTTCTTCAGTCTTGGCAGTCTGAAGGTTAACCCAAGCTTGAATCTTTGCTTCTTCTCTTTGATACCTGAGGAAGAAAGTAGATCAGAATTGCATAATAAGAATAGAGAAATAAAAGAAAGTAAAATTCAGATTAGAAATTCACCTAATGCAGCTCTTGGCTCTCTCCTCAGCTTCCCATAGTGAAGCTCTGGAGTCTGCAATGCTCTTCCTTCCATCATTCATTTCACAGTGTCTTAAACTCTTTGAAACCTCTTCTTCCTCTTCTTCCCTTGAGTTCCAGCTGCAGACCGTAGAATCATACTGAGCACTGAACTCAAGCTTCGCAAAATTGAAGTTATGGAGTTCAGAAATGTTTATTTTAGTACTGGAAGCCACCAAAGGTCCAGACCTGTCAGCAGGAGTATTATGCCTAGCTGGAGAAGAACTCTTGATGGGAGTGTGGCAACTCGAAGTGTTCAAACTGCAAAGCGGAGTTATCTCAGTCCCAACATCTCTACTATAAAGCTTTGAAACTGAAGTTTCAGTCTTTTTCGAGGATTCAAAGTGAGAATCCTTCAGAAAAAAATCTTCTTTGCTTGTCTCAGGACATAGGAAGTTAGATAAGACAGGTTCTGCGCTATCTGTGAATTTATCTGCAACGCATCAAGAAAGGTAAAGGGAGTTTTTTTTTCAAGGAATAAAGTTAAGCTATGCCATGGCATTGTGAAGTGATTCCAACCTTTCAAGAGAGCTTCTGTGGAGATACGATTAAGAGCTGTATGTGTCTGAGTAAGGTTTTGCTTCTTTGCAAAGGCCTCAAAAGCTTGAGCTTTCTGTCGGGGAGCTTCATTTGGTTTGGAAGAGTCTGATGATTCCCAAGGTTTGATTCCATGCGCAGGAGATTCATGGCAGGAGCTACTCATCAACCACTTCTCTGCATTATCCCACTTAGAAGGAAAGCTCTTCCTATAAAGGTTTCCTGTGCTGAAGCTGAAGACTGGCCGGCCAGGCGTCGAAGGAGTTTCCAGCCTCCTCTGCAACCATGCAGAGCCCACTCCTTCCTTCCTCTCAGCAGAATTCTTCAGAAGTTCAATACTCTCTTTAGACTCCATTGCTGGGACTTCCTTCACAAAATCTGAGGTCTCCTTTAGGTGCAGCTTACAACATGGACCAGAGAAAGTGTTTTTACCCTTCGCTGGTGCGATTGAAACTCTACTCGCCCCCAAACTTCAAATCTAATGACAATTACAAAAAGAAGGGAATAATCTTTCCCCTACGAATGGACTAGAAAGCAAAGGAGAATTAGAGAAATGCAGGGGATTCAAACTTCATAGTGTGAAGAAGCTCAAGAGGTTTCAAATCAAGGTCCCCTTTATCCAATGGGAAATACTTGTTGGCCTAAACATATGTGGATTTATATAAACAACACTTAAAAACTTAAAATTTCTTCTTTGCATATATTAAATAAGCCTTTAAATGCAAAACTGTTCTAAACTAATTTCATGAAAAAAAAAACTCTTTTCGTTAAGATTTATCTCTCTCTTTATTTTAAATGACAATGGGGTCTAAGATAAGAGTTTGATAAAACTGTCTCATCAAGTTGCTTTCCTTTGCATCACTTTCTCATATCTAACTCCGATTAGAATATCACTACACATGCTTTCTTTAATACAATCCGTAGGGGCTTATGCAATCTTATTAAATTCCCTGGCTAGTTATGATGTTATTTCATAGGACAAAAGAATATTAGCTGGATCAAATTGATTTGACATAAATGTTATATATTGTGCTTCTCTTTATTTTATTGATTGGCTTAAATGAGGGGTTAAAAATGACAGATGAGCATCTATTTAATATTCTGATATTATTCTGTTAATAATGTTTAGCAAGTTTTAAAAATTGGATCGGACCGGCGGCCGGAGATTCTCATAATAACTGATCTCGACTAAAACTGTTCAGGATTGGAAGAAAATGACGGTCGAACCGCTCACCAGACGAAGCTGAAACGATTTTGGAAAACCGGGCAGAACACATCAAAGCCAAATTTCAGCTGTTCAATCTAAATCTAACATGGTAACAGTCGTTCTTCCCTTTTGTTTATTCACCTGAACCCTATCCCTTCCGACTACTGCACTCGCATTTGGCTCCCCTCCATCTTCGTGTGAAACTCATCCCCGTCACGTAGTCGTCCCTGGCCAAAACTTCTCGACAATTTAGGTGTAGAAATCTTCAAAGTCATCGTCATCATCCATGACAATCAAATTTGAAGAAAGAGGCAATGAGAAGAAGAGAGAATCACAAGGATCCACACAATAGGAAAAGAGTTTGGCTCAGCAAATTCGATACACATCGGAGGAAGTCGCCGTCGTCAATGACTCTGCTGTCGTGAATCTCAAAGCTGAAAACGACATCACAGACTTTCCTCCTGAAAAGTTGTAGTCGTCGGCGGAGACTATATCAACAAAAAAGAGTGTCGAAGAAACCTCCAGACCGTTCGCCTCTCCAAAGTCCGTTCTCCGTCTAGCTGTCGACCAGACACCTTTCGACTGCATTGGTTATGGTGAAGTCAATGCCTACGAGGATGCTAGTTGCTCAAGCTGCCGGTTAAATTCTATAAGATCCCTAGCGCAAAAACTGCAAAATATAACCCTGGTAGTTCCTCAGGTCTGGCCCATGATCCTAACATTTTGATCCAAACTTTTAATTGTCCACCCTTCACGGTTTAGGTGTGCTCGTCTTCGGCAGCCAGAGCTTCTCAAAAAACATATGATCATTAATTCAGGCGTGCTTGTTATGGATCTGTAGATCGGCGTCAAGTCGAGGTTTTAATTTTATACATGTTATTGCTTTGCTTTGTTAGAAAACTATTTGATTTGGCCATCCTGTGCGGGAACTAGGAGTAGCGAGATGGCCAGTTCATTTCGTGCGGGAACATGGGGCTGCAAGGTGTGTCATCGCTGGCCGAAACTTCTCAACGATGCAGGTGTAGAGATCTCCATAGTCGTCGTCGTCATCCATGACAATCAAATTTGAAGAAAGCGGCAATGAGAAGAAGAGAGAAATAACAAGGATCCGCAGCGGATGAAGTCGTCGTCATCAATGACTCTGCTGTCGTGAATCTCAAAGGTGAAAACAGCCTCACAGACTTTCCTCTTGAAAAGTTGCAGTTGTCGGCAGAGGCCGTATCAACAGAAAAGAGTGTCGAAGAAACCTCCGGACCGTTCGCCTCTCCAAAGTTCGTCCTCCATCTAGTTGTCGACTAGACACCTTTCGACTGCATTGGTTACGACGAAGTCAATGTCTATGAGGATGCTAGTTGCTCAAGTTGCCGGTTAAATTATGTAAGACCCCTATCGCAAAAATTGCAAAATCTAACACTGATTGTTCCTCGGGTCAGACCCATGATCCCAACATTTTGATCCAAAGTTTTAATTGTCCACCCTTCACGATTCTGGTGTGCTTGTCTTCGACAGCCAGAGCTTCTCATAAAACTTGTGATCGTTAATTCAGGTGTGCTTGTTGGATCTGCAGATCGGCGTCAAGATGAGGTTTTGATTTTATAAATGTTATTGCTTTACTATGTTAGAAAACTATTTGATTTGGCCATCTCGTGCGGGAACCAGGAGCACGAGATGGCCAGATTATTTCGTGCTGGAACTTGGAGCCGCAAGGTGTGTTATTTGCCATTTGTTGAATTTGGGATTTACATGAGGTTAAATTGCATTTTTATTTTGCATTTGTATCATATTACTATGCAAAAATACTTAATTTTTAATAATAATAGTATTTATTACAATATCAGATTTGACTCAGGTTTGGCCGGTCGAACTTTGAACCTATCATTCTTTCGCTTTATTGTCCGGTCCGATTTTCACAACTTTTGTATTTAGAGCCAAGGTAATGACAAACTAAGACAATAATTTCTCTAAAAATTCTATCTTTTTATGCAGAATAAAGTTCCAATTTTAATGCAATCTTAAATATTGAAATGATAATGATGATTATGGCTTGTGTTATGATCTTTCTTGATGAGTTTTGTTTGATCTTGGTTGGTCTCCTATCTATCTCAAACTCCTTTAATTTCTCGATTGAGTGTAACTGTATCATCTCATAGTTTTGTTTAATATTTTTTAGCAATATCTCATCTAAATATATACACTTTTGCCCAAATTTAAGTCAAATATATTGTCACTTCAATCTCATTTTTATATGTCAAAGTTGGGATTTTTTTTATATCTTCATCTTGTTGAATGATGAGTGATAAAATATAAAAAAATTATGGTTCAAATCTATAATTTTAATGAATCAAAAAAGTGTGGAGTATGATTTGAATCTACAATTTTGAAAAAAATCTCTAAGTTAAAATATTGAACTCTCATTTAATAGACTAATAAGTGCTCCATTTTCACATATCTTCATCCACACCTTCATAAAAAAAAAAAAATTTAACAGTTTTTTTCTCAACACCCTTAATTCTTAGCTTTTTTATGATGACATTTAGATCAATTAAGTCAAATTTATACACACATTACATACATAGGACTCGAATTCAAAACTTCTTGATATATAGTTAAAACTCTGAATCAATCTGCTAAGATTAGTTGTGTTCTTAATTCAAAACCTATGGGTTGAAAGCCGTTTCTTTTCGCTCTTTTCACTGTGCCTTTTTTATTTTAATTCAATTTGCCTCCACAGTCCACCCTATCCAGAGAAATTATTCTATGTGAACACCAGATCTTTTAGAGGCGAATTAGAGCATGCCACATCACTTGGTACACAACAGTTACATAATCGTGGTACACAACAAAATGGATGATGTGACGCGCTCTAGTTCGCCTCCGAACGACGTCTGTATCTGCACAAAATAATTTCACTCATATAAAAAAAACTTAGTTTATTTCGAGAAATTATTGCGTGCGGTCATCAGACCGTTCAAAGGAAAATTAGGAAGCGTCATGTCACTCAATACACAACATCCATACACAACAAAATAATAATGTGATGCATTTTGATTCCTTTCTTAATGGAATTCTGTGAGATCTGATGACCGCACTTAATAAATTTTTTGATTATTTCAGAGCTTTTTTTGGGGAAAATATTTCAGAGCTTCCAAGTTGTGTCATAATTTCAAGTGTTCCAAAGGCAAATTGCTTTTCTCCATCCCTGCGTCGCAGCACTTTAGTTGGTCAGAAAATGGCAGGCTTTAACTGCAGAAGCAGACTAGCAGAGCTACTGTTACAGATTTGTGCGCACAGTGAGCTTGCCTCCATTTGTCACACAGTACGTAGCCAATCCATTTGTCGTACTCTCGAGCAGAGCAGTTTCCAGGATGATGGAAATAGCTTTGCTTTCCTTTTATTACTTGTCGCCTATGATCAAGGAATAATTATTACGTTCTCAACGTAGATGAACGTCCGGTCGGAAGTCAAATCGTGCCAAAAAATGAGAAATAACAAGCAAATACTGAGTAATATCAAATAATAACGAGGAATACCATCACGTGAAGATTCAATACCGAGTTATACCGAGCTATACCGAGCAATACCGAGCTATACAAAAGTTGTACCGAGTTTTTCCTAGAAAAAACTCGGTACAATTCGGTATTGCTCGATATAGCTCGGTATAACTCGGTATTGGTCTTCACAGAACAGTATTCCTCGTTATTATCAAATAATACATTATAGCAAAAGGTCCGAGCCACCAATACTGAATTTTTTGGCGCGGATTTCCTCTGACCTGGAGTTCCTCTACGTCCTTACACCAGACCTAATAAAAAGTTCATGTCAGAGGCTTAAGAGAAACTTTAGCTTAACAGAAAATAAATACACAACTTCTTGTTCGTCTGGGCAAACCACTTGTTGGTCCCAATTCTAAACTTAGCAGAGACTATTTTTTTGCGCTTAATTCCATTTATTTTAATTTATATATTATTATTATTTATTACAAAAAAGTGAGATATTTTCTTATTGCAAAGCACCAAATAAAAGTCTTGTAAATTTTTTTAAAATTTAACAAAAGCAAGTTATTATAAAATAAAAATACATATAATAATATGAATATTCTTTATTAAATAAATAATAAGATGCACACAAGGAATTAGATAATAAATATT